GTAGTTGTTCGCGCGGCTCTATGGTTGGGGCGCGGCGGCGTTGGGACAATGTGCGACGCTTTTTGTGCGGGTCAGTGAGGCGTCGTAGGGTGGACTCTGGGTCGACGCTTCGGAGCGTGGAAAAGGACAATCGCCATGGGGAGGGCGCAACAGAGGCAACATGACGCCGCTCCGGAACATGTGCAGGAGACATTTAGGGGTTTCTCCCCTGTGTATTGGTACCTTGTCGTCAGCTAGAAGGTCGACAACAAGGGGGTCATGATGCTCGTTGCACATTCTGCAACAAAGTGTTCCAGGGGAGTCACTACCAGGCCACGAGACATTTCAGCCAGACGAACTACTGCAAGGACGTCAGCGACGAGCTACGAAACACCCTCGGCGGCGGCCATCCGCAGCCAAGTCTGCGGCCGCGGCCTAGGCCGCGACCCCGCGGACATGTCCGCGTGGCCCCGCGGCCTTTGAGGCCACATGGCGGCCAGTGGGGAGGGGGTTCGGGGATTTGGGAAGCGCCATGGGGCGGTTAGAGTGAGGGTATTTCGAAAAAAAAAAAACAAAAAAAAAAAAGCACAGCGCGTTTTTTTTTTTTTGCATTGATTGATTGATTGATTGGCCCCACAGGCGCACACACACACACACACACACACATAAGTAGGATTGTATATTCCCATGTTCTAGCATAAGATTCATTCGATTTTGCTTTTTTTTTTTTTCGTTGATTGATTAATTCATTCGATTTTGCTTTTTTTTTTTTCCGTTGATTGATTGATTGGTTGATTGATTGATTGATTGATTGATTGATTGATTGGTGGGGGCGGGGTCTCCCCCCCATCCCCCACAGGTGCACACACACACACACACACACGAAGTGTTGTATATTTCCATGTTCTGGCGGAAGATAATCCGAAGATTCGTTTGATTTTGCCTTTTTTTTTTTCTTCCGTTGATTGATTGATTGATTGAGTGGTGGGAGAGGGGTCGCCCCACCCCCCCGCCACCCACCACGTGCCCGCACACACACACACACACACACACACACTCACAAGTGCCCTGTCCGCACGTGGGTGAGGGCGCAGCGGCGGCAGGCACACACACGCGCAGACACACACACACACACACACACACTCACTTAGTTGTTCTCTCTCTTTCTCTCTCTCTCTCTCTCTCTCTCTCTCTCTCTTTCTCTCTCTCTCACGCACACACACACACACACACACACACACACACACACACACACACACACACACACACACACACAAACAGATATTAAAAGGCCCGGGAAAAAAAAATACTTTTTTTTTTCCCCATTCCGTTGATTGTTTCCTTAGGACACACAAAAGAAAAAGAAAAAGAAAAAAAAAACCATAAAAACGAAGAATACAAAGAACTGCCAACCAAAACTCCCCCCCCGAAAAAAAAACTTAAAAAAAAAATTATTTTCCAATTTTTCTTCCCCACCTTTTCTGTTTTTTTATTTTTTATAATTGCGCCGTAGTTTTCTCTTAATAAATAATAATAGGGGCGGCTACGCGGGAGTCAAAGAAACCAGTTATAATTGCACTTTGGGGCAAGATACAGTTTCCAATTGCACTTCGGGCACCCTGCCTGGCCAGAAAGCTGGGTTGCATACAGTGCCCAAAGTGCAATTCGAAACTGTATATTTGCCCATGGTGCTATTATAACTCATTTTTGTGACTCCCGCGTAGTTTTATTATTACTAATATGTTATCCCGGCATTAAACTGATCAGAGCAGTTTTGCGTAATCCGACTTCTTTCCTATAGAGGGCGTACAAGAAACAAAAAACGAAACGAATGGATCCTCCCCCAGAAATTGGCCAGGTTCATCGGTTTGCTATAAATAGTAACAAGTGTATTTTGCCACCCTTGGTGGGCAGATGTTTCGTGTGTGCCATGCCTCGAGACCCAGAGCAGGGCGTGGGGCCGGTGGTGGAAGGAAGTGGAAACTATTCACGTCTTGGTGGGCACTTCGAGAGCCATAGCAGGCGCAAGAATCTAACTCACTATGGGCCTCGCCACACCAATGTCGAAAACTGCATTTTAGACGTTTCCTTATCGCCACACAGCATGTCGAAATCCGAGATGCAAAAGAAATTCAGGAGCTGTCAGGGAAAGGGTTTCGACACCTCTTGTCGAGAAGGGCTCATTTCCACTTCAGGCCTGCATTGGATGGGATGTCGAATTCTTGCCAGAATGTGGAAAAAGAGAACACATTAAGGCTTGTCCTATCTTCACCCCAGTTTGTCTCTTTTGTGCATAGGACTTTGTGGGTTCTTCACTTGGACATGTTGTGTGGCGAAGAGGGTTTTTCTGTAGAAAGAGGGAATGTTGAGAATTTTCTGACATATGTCGAATTTCGTAAGGTTTCGACGTTGGTGTGGCGAGGCCCTAAGAAAGGCCGACCCGTACCCTCCCCCTTGACGCAGGTAGTGCGTTTTTCCTCTCTGATGGCATTCCGTTAGCAGCCTCTCTCTCTGTTAGCTCTCTCTTCCACAAATGTTCTCCTCCTTGTTTGGTAGTGCTGCTTGTGTCGCAAGCGTGTAGGGTGTGCATTCGGAACCAGATTAAGATCTACTCTCACTTTTTGGACCGGATCTTGCCGTGTTTGCGGCCAGATCCACTCCACTAAACCTCGGTGTAAATAACCCCTCCGACAGCTTTACTACCATGATCAACCCTATCGCGCTCGTGTGGCTGTGGGTGCTGGCCATTCCCATAGCTGTCCATCTCAGAACACTAATTTCTACCGATTTTTTTTTTTTTTTTTTTTTTTTGTAAATTTGGACCATTTCTCAATGTACGCGTGTAATCCTTGAAAGCGCAGGGGCCATGCTAATCGTCATTCTCTGTCCCAAAGGACTTTCTACCGATTTTGGCATGGCCAGTTAGTGTAAAATCGAGAGTTTAGATCATCCGTTTGTAGCATATTTCGCAAGTCAGCAGTTTACACCTCTTATTTTTTTCACTCTCCAACATCAGCAACAACCATCTCATCACCGTCTGTAGCATAATTGCCAAGTCAGCAGTTTACACCTCTTATTTTTTTCACTCTCCAACAAAGGGAAGTCAGCAGGCTCGGCACCGAGATCGAAAGACCTCCGTCGTCGGACGGTTTGTTACGTTCCTTGACTTCTCCTCTTTCACCATGGGAAACCGCTGAGAAACTTGGCAGGGCATATGTACTTCCGAAACATAAAGATGTAAGTAAGTGGTGACCTATATGTCCTTAATGGTCTGAACCGAGCCGGAAGGCCTTGCGTGTCACTTCGGCTTGTATTGATAAGATTATTAGGTGTATACCTAGGGTATGTCATTTTAATTTAAGCAGTACGCAGTTGTTGCCTTCCTTTCTTGAAATTGTCAATAAAGATCTAAGTCTCCAGGATGAGATTGTGGTTCGTAGTTATGACGTTAAAGAAATGTTTTGTCAATTGCCTCATACAACTATTCTCTCTGCCGTTGACTGGGCTTTCAGCCTTTTTGAAGAGAAAGGCTTTTAAAAATTTTTGTATTGTCCTCGAAGTAAACACGTTCATTTGAGTAAGATTGCTGTCCGCGAGGTTGGTCATAAAACGGTTCGTTTTTTTATGCTTGTTAGATTTATTTCATTTGGCTTGAGGAATACTTACACTTTAGCTATGGGACAGATTATAAAACAGAATTTAGGAATGCCTATGGGCAAGTCTTCAAGCCCTGCTCTGGCCTGCTTAATGTCTATACACAACGAATACAGGTTTCTACAGGGTTTGGGCTCGGATGCCAGGTTAGTGAAAGGTTGTAGATTGGTTGACGATGTTTCCTTGTTTGTCAAACAACGCAAGGGGGACGCGGATGCCTCCCATAGAATTGATGATATATTTCGTAGATTTGAGTCGAATTGTTACGATGAGCATCTGGTCTTGCAGCGTACTAGTTGTCAAGATCAATGGCCATATTTAGGTTGTAGGATTTTTCTTGGTAAGGAGCCATCGAAGGTATACTGTCAGACACTGCACAAGAACCAGGATTCTATCATGTCTGGTGAAGGACTCATTTTTCAGAATCTACAGGACTTTTATTCCTATTGCAGTAAGGAGCAAAAAATGGTCGTTATTTCTTCGTTCCTACATCGAGCTTATGCCATGGGCACATTACCGGGTGCAGAGGCCGTTTTCCTTTTCAGCCTTAAAGTGGAGCTGAGACGTCGGCATTTTCCTGATACGTTCTTCGACACGGCCCTCGTACAGTTTAATAACCATATTGGTGGGGCCTTGGTTCCTTGGGTGTGTGGGTTCACAGATTGGTCCTCTTGGTGATCACGTACACCCTTCTTTTTTCTAAGGCCTATATATTTCCGGTCCTGTTTTTTAGTTGGTACCTAGGTTCTGTAGTATAGTCGAGGTTATTCGTCACTATATAACTACTGTTTTCTGTTCTATTCATCACACCAAGCACCACCCCTGAGGAGAGCCGGCTTCTGGCAGCCGACCGAAATAGTTGTCGGGTTCAATGCCAGTGTGCTTCATGCTATGCGTGACGCCTTTACGGGTGATCGTTTTTTTCTTGTGCTTATTGTAATATCATGGGTTGATGCGCTCGGGGTTCTTGTCTATTCTTCTTCTTCTTCCTCTTCTCTTCTCTACTTTTCTTCTCCTCCTCTCCTTCTTCTTCATTCATCGTTTGGCTTTAAGTGTCTTCACACTTTGTTGTTGTCTGCATAGAGTTCTTCTCTACTGCGACACACACATAGACAACCGGTGAGATTTTTTACCCGTTTGTGTGACTATGCTATGCTCCTTAACTCTGGCACTTACGGTTGCTCTTCCTTCCCTCTTCCTTCTCTCCTCCTTCTCTCCCCCTTCTATTTCTTCTTCTTCCCTTCTCTCTAATTATGTATTCCGACTGGTGTTTCTACTTGTCTTTACCCCCTTTCATATCCTCTCTGCACTTCGTGTGTTGCTTGGTGGTTACGCGAGGTCGTTTTAGTCCTCTTCGCTATGTATCGTGGACTTGTATGTCATTTTTGTCAACTGCCAGGCTACTTTATACGCGAGTGTCCTTTCCGTAACCAGCCGAATGGAGTTGAAATGGAGGCCAGTATCCGAAATGAAAGATCGGGAGACAATCCTTCTTCTTCTTCTGCCAGTGGTGGCATTCTCCCTGCTCCCGCACAAGGTTTTGTTACTTCTAATGCTATTGTTCCCTATCAAGCTCCGCCGAATAGGAGCTATGGAGCAGCAAATGGGCAGTCTAACTCCAACTACAACAACGGAGGCAATTACTACGGTGGATACAACAACAGACAACGTCATTCAAGGAACGGGGAAACAGAGAACGGGGGTATGATGATGATAGGTTTAATAAAATTTATGGTCTGTTGGCTGAGCAGGCAGAGGAGCGTGAGCAGCGAAAGAGGGAGACCGCTCAACTGGCTTCTTTGGAGGAAGAAAAGAAGCGAAACCTGGCCGAGGAGGCCAAACGTGCGGAGGAGAAGAAGGCGAGAGAATCGCAGGAGGCAAGGCTGGGGCACATTGTGCGCTCCAGCATGAAGGTAGTGTGTGAGTCGGCGCTGGGTAGGAAGGTCGATCTTCCGGGAGATGAGGAATCTGAGGTTAGTAAGCTTCGAAAGGAATTAGACGAGTTGAAGTCCAAATGTGGAGGCAATGTGGCTTCATCATCCTCTTCCAGCTTGGAGGTCCTAAGGAAAGAAAAGGAGGCCTTGCTTAAGGTGCATGATCAGAGCAGCGAGGAGCAGCGGTTACGGAAGGAGATCGAGGATCTGAAGGCTAAGATCAACGGTCATCAACCTGACAAGAGTCAGGATGAAGTTCTGACTCTCAAACTCCAGGTGGCTGAGTTGGAACGGTTTCGTAAAGCGCTTGAGGAGAAGAGTTCTGAGGTTGCGACTTTGAAGGCTAAAAATCTGCATCTCCACGGTGAATTCAAGGAGTTGCGTGAGGAGATTAGCACTATGCGTGAGGGGTGCAACCGCGCTGCCACCGGTGTTGTCGAAACCAGTCCTGTTGAAGCCCCGTCACGTGGCAAAGTCCGTATTGACGACCAGCCACAAGCCATGTACACTCCTAAAGATCTTGAAGCTCTTCAGAAGGCGTACAAGAATGCTTTGGTCGCCAAGGAGATGGCTCTTCGTGAGGCTGAAGCTTGCAAGGAAAAAATGGCTAGGATGGGCGCTACCAAATACCGCTTGTCAACGAGGAAGACCGCATCAAGAAGGACGACTCCTAGGAACCTCAAAACAACCATGAATTTTGTCGATGTTGCATCTGATGAGGAAAAGGAAGAGGGCGAGCCGAAGGAGGCCGATAACGAGCGACCCTTGGCTGATGTGGCGCACGAACTGGAGGTTGCAATGATGGCGAAGTTTCGTGATAAGAGGCTGAAGGAATTGCGAACAGGAAAGAAGGCAGATCTTGAAAAAAATTGTCTGGACGAAGGCATTTCCTATATTAAGCTTGATCATGCCAAGGCAGATGTTGCAGAGATTAAGGCTCAACAAGATTTTGACGAATGGTTACTGGAGAAGAAAGCAAATGGAGAAGAAGATGAGGCGCCTCTGGATTACGCCACCTCTACCGAAGACATCCATGATGAGTGAGGAGGCGCCCTGAGTGCATCATATCTTTGAAACTTGGCACTATTTTGTCGTGATTATCGAGGTCCGTTGCCCTACGATCAAATTAGCTATGTTTTTCGTCTTATTTGTATCCTTTTAATTATTTCCGGTGAAATTAGATCGGGCGGGAAGTTTGCTGGTCTCCTTCTCTCTTTGATTAGTTCCCATTACGATTTTTCTCTGTGACCGGGTCCGTCCGTTTATGCTCTTTTCTCTCCTTGACATCGACACGTGTATATTGGCTGTACGAGTAGACCATTGTCTGTTCGTTGGAAAAAACATGTTGCTTCCTTGTTATCTAAGAGTAGAGGGAGAGGTAATCGCAAGTTGTATCGCTGGTTTAGGCGTGTAGCCCTTCATAATTATATAGCTATCCCTATTTTTTCTTGCGATCTTCAGGACCTCTTTCACTCGGAAAAATTCTTTATTCGTTCTCTTTGTCCATCCCTCAACTCTGTCTGTACGAAACCGTCCTCCAATCGCCGTTGTAGGAAAGGTAGAAAGGAATGACTTCGACTCGCTAGACGTTCTTTTGCTCGTTACTTCTCCAACCTCTCTTATCAATCATCTAATCCCTCCTCCGTCGCCCTAACTACTTCTGCCCATATTTCCCTGCCCTCTGCCTTCATTCCTCCAACTTCCTTATTCCCCTCTTCCTCTTCCTTTACCCCACCCAAGAACTATATTCCCTTTGTCTTTCGTTCTTCCTTTGGTTTCTCTTCAGCTAGCCTATTGTCCATTTTTAAGAAAGCCTTGGAATCTCATGTTTTAGCCCCCTTTACGGTTACCATCTCCGCTGGCAATACTCTTTCGGACCCTTGGAAATTGTGTCATCGTCTATTTGGCTCTTCCACCTTGTCGACTGGTAGTCTACCCATAGCCGTGCTGAAGAATTGTCGTTCCTGGTTTAGGAGCGATACTACGTTTATTGTGCATAAACTCTCCCGTTTTTGTTCCAAGTTAATGCCCCTTAAGAACACATTGCTGCTATTGTTGAGCAACCCATCTTCCGGTCAGTCACTGTCCAGTTGGAACCTTGATCAATTCATCTCTTCTTATGATGCTGTTCGTTCCATTCTGTGTAAAAGGTCTAAGCAGATTCTTAAATTAATCTTGTCACATGCATGCAGGAAGAAATTTGGTTTGTGTCTGTCGCCCAGATTAGTCGTTAAGGTTATGTACGATGATTGTTTGGTCAAGGACACGGTTAGGGATGCTTGCAGATTGATTATCCGCAGTTTGAATTTGCCGTTTGTCTACCTCGGGCTGGTCTGTCACCGTTTTAAGCTTGTGTGGACCAAAAATAAGTCTATAGGTGATCTGTTGTACAACGATCGCGCTTATTTCGTTTCTCCGGATCCTGCATGCGCCTGCTCTTCTCTTGATCAACGATTTCCATGCACGAATGGACACGTTTCGTTTCGATTTAGTCAGGTTGGTTTTATTCCTGATTACCTACATAATTCCAAGAACATGCTCTTGTCGTGCTATGATGTTAATATTTCTAGTCTATGTAGCCAGATTTGTTCTTCCTTTAATCGATTCTTTTCGTGCGATGTCCATGTTCAGCATTCTTCCGTTGCAGGATGTTTTACAACCAGATCGCGTGTTTCCTGGTTTCTATCTACTGATACTGTTTTACAATGGAAGGATCGGTTAAATGATCTTATTCTATGCCCTTTGGACCACAACATGGGTGATACCTACGCTTGTTCTCCTTCTATCTACGGCCAGGGGCTGCGTAAGTTTTTTGTGGACAACCCGGGTTTTGAGAAGGTTAAGTATGATGAGACTAGGGTCCAGGCAGATTGTAGGAAGGAGTACAAGGATGAAAAACTTTCACGTTTGTCACCATGGAAAACCGTTGGGAAACTTGGCAGGGCATACGTACTTTCGAAACATAAAGATGTAAGTAAGTGGCGACCTATATGTCCTTCATGGTCTGAACCGAGCCGGAAGGCCTCGCGTGTCACTCCGGCTTGTATTAATGAGATTAATAGGCCTATACCTAGGGTATGTCATTTTAATTTGAGCAGTACGCAGTTGTTGCCTTCCTTTCTTGAAACTGTCAATAATGATCTAAGTCTGCAGGATGAGATTGTGGGTCATAGTAATGACGTTAAAGAAATGTTTTGTCAATTGCCTCATACAACTATTCTCTCTGCCGTTGAATGGGCGTTCAGCCTTTTTGAAGAGAAAGGCTTTTAAAAATTTTTGTATTGTCGTTGAAGTAAACGCGTCCATTTGAGTAAGATTGCTGTCTGTGAGGTTGACCATAAATCGGTTCGTTTTTCTATGCTTGTTAGATTTATTTCATTTGACTTGAGGAATACCTACACTCTAGCTATGAGACAGGTTATGAAACAGAATTTAGGAATCCCTATGGGCAAGTCTTCAAGCCCTGCTCTGGCCTGCTTAATGTCTATACACAACGAATACAGGTTTCTACAGGGTTTGGGCTCGGATGCCAGGTTAGTGAAAGGTTGTAGATTGGTTGACGATGTTTCCGTGTTTGTCAAACAACRCAAGGGGGACGCGGATGCCTCCCATAGAATTGATGATATATTTCGTAGATTTGAGTCGAATTGTTACGATGAGCATCTGGTCTTGCAGCGTACTAGTTGTCAAGATCAATGGCCATATTTAGGTTGTAGGATTTTTCTTGGTAAGGAGCCATCGAAGGTATACTGTCAGACACTGCACAAGAACCAGGATTCTATCMTGTCTGGTGAAGGACTCATTTTTCAGAATCTACAAGACTCTCATTCCTATTGCAGTAAGGAGCAAAAAATGGTCGTTATTTCTTCGTTCCTGCATCGAGCTTATGCCATGGGCACATTACTGGGTGCAGAGACCGTTTTCCTTTTCAGCCTTAAAGTGGAGCTGAGACGTCGGCATTTTCCTGATACGTTCTTCGACACGGCCGTCGTACAGTTTAATAACCATATTGGTGGGGTCTGGGGTCCCTGGGTGGGTGGGTTCACAAATTGGTCCTCGTGGTGATCACGTACACCCCCCTTTTTTCTAAGGCCTATATATTTCCGGTCCTTTTTTTTAGTTGGTACCTAGGTTCTGTAGTATAGTCGAGGTTATTCGTCACTGTATAACTACTGTTTTGTGTTCCATTCATCACACCAAGCGCCACCGCTGAGGAGAGCCGGTTTCTAGCAGCCGGCCGAAAGAGCTGTCGTTTTCTATGCCAGTGTGCTTTTATGCTATGCGTGACACCTTTACGGTTGATCGCTTTATTCTTGTGCTTGTTGTAATATCATGAGCTGATGCGCTCAGGGTTCTTGTGTATTCTTCTTCTTCTTCCTCTTCTCCTCTCTATTTTTCTTCTCCTCCTCTCCTTCTTCTTCATTCATCGTTTGGCTTTAAGTGTCTTCACACTTTGTTGTTGTCTGCATGGAGTTCTTCTCTACTTCTCCTCTTTCCCCCCCCTCGTGAAATTCCCTGACGTCCTCTCGGAGTTGACGATTGCCGTCCTTCCAGTCCCCCTCCTGGCAGTGAACCTGTAAATTCTCTTTGTTATGGCATTCAATGAACTTAAGGGCTGTGATTAGTATACAAAAGTAGCGAGGATCTTATAAGCAGAGCTGATCAGGAAACGTGTTTGCTGAGAAGGCCTCCATGTTTTTTCTTGTTTCTTTTATGCGACGCCCTATTCGTTGGTGCGGGTTGTCATAATAGTTGTGATTTATTTAATGCTCAAGAAACGGCGGAAAGACCGAAAAAGGTATGATTACGTTTACAGTTTAAGGTGCATCTTATTCCAGAGCCCTGGAGTCAGGTCGACTCATCGCCTCTCTTGATGTTACATTCCTATCGTGACTGGTATCAAATGATTTGTGAATGCTATCGCGATCAGATAGGTCGAGGCACGCCCGTAATGTGGTCAATTACATCCTCGCATCGCCTTGTGTAAGAGTACGCTTTGTTTGTTAAGGGGTAATAAGGACCATCACATTACATCATCAGCCATGTGTTGTCCTAAGCTTTCCTTTACGCTATTTTTCTTTTCCTCCCCGACGCTCAGCTTGTTAATTAATGGCCCGTAATGTGGTCAATTACATCCTCGCCCCTTCTCTTCTTTTTTTCTTCTTTTTTCTTTTTTTTTTCTTTCTTTTTTTTTTCTTTCTTTTTTTTTCTTTCTTCTTTTTTTCTTTCTTCTTTTTTTCTTCTTTCTTTCTTTCTTCTTTTTTTCTTATTTTTTCTTTTTCTTTTTCTTTTCTTTTTCTTTTCTTTTTCTTTTTTTTTTTCCCTTCTTTTTTTCTTCTTTTTTTCTTCTTTTTTTCTTTTTTTTTTCTTTTTTTTTTCTTTTTTTTTTCTTTTTTTTTTCTTCTTTTTTTCTTCTTTTTTTCTTCTTTTTTCTTCCCATAATGTGGTCAATTACATCATCGCCCCAGGCCATTCGGAATTATTTTATGTTGCTCAGCTGATTGCATCTTCTATTAGAACTCCGGTGTGTGTTTCAACCGTTCGTGTGTGAGCCAACTGAGCTAGGGTCGCTGGTGAATCAAAATATTATCATATTATTGATTGCTCTCCGAGCTGATGATTTGTGAACATAAATGCAGTCAGGAAGTTCAAGGCAAGGCCGTGATTGGGGTCAAATTGATGTTTTTTTTGTTGTTTTCTGTTTTTTTTTTGTTTTTTTTTGTTTGATTTTTTTGTTTTTTGTTGTTTGATTTTTGTTTTCTTTGTGAAGGGCCCAAAAAGATAACCTAAGAGCGAAGCTCTGACTGCACCCATATATCACATTTGCAGCCCTGGAGGCCTGCGAGTAATGTAAGTGGAAGGCATGGTGTTTTGGGTGAAGGGTTTTGTATTTTGTATGAATTGCATAGGCATTGCTTCTTTTGGGCGAGTTGAATCCTTCCAACCCACGAAGGTGATAATTTTTTTTCGAAATGATTCTGTATTTCTGGGAGTAAGTGTAACAAATTAAATTTATTGGTTAAATGAATACAATTTTTTTGTTTTTTGACAGGGTAGTTATGGAAAGAGATCACTGTC